GCCGCTACCATACGGCGAGGAGCCGGGGGACACGTGTAGGGTGGGCCTAAGGTTAGGTGATCGAAGCCTACGGACGCGAGCGACTCATCCCCATATATTGTAGTGTTATGCTACTTACATATTTTACACTATTTTAAATTTATTTTTCCATTCTGTTTTTGATTTTCTGCATTCGCCTCAAAACTGGATATTTTGCATCACCTTTATTTCCATAGGATCCTGTAACGTTTTTAAACCATAAGAACACAATAACAAAACATTTTCACATCGTATTTTCACGCTATCAGCACTTTTTAAATCGGTGTCAATGGAGTCTACCTTTTTTCGGTCTTTTATTTAGTTCTCCGTAACTCTGCAATTTCGGGCTTCGTGCTCGCTGTTGCGCTACCTTTTTTCCTTTATAAATAATATCTCATTTTTCACTTAAATCTTGCCGTTTCTCTATTACGAGCCTAAAACCAAAATTTGACATGTTTTGACATCGTTGTTTATCTGGTTGTTATGGCAATTTTTATTCAAATTCGTTACCGGTCTGATGTTTTTACCTCAATACTTTCACATAAATACTCTTTTCCTCTTGGCCATTTGCAAAAATTTGCTTTTAATTTAAATAATTTCAAATTTAATTTAAATAATTTCCCGTTCTTATCCCAGATCCGTCAAAAAGTATAAAAGCCGAACAATCGGCCAATAAAGAAGTCTCACTTCAGCTTTCATACGAGAAGCACCTCCTAAAGGCCTAATCCGCACTGCCTTGGGATCCTGCAAGCCTCTGCCTTCTCCTGAAGTCGTCGCCTAGCCACGCCTACGCCTCCACCTACTAGTGCCCGCGCTATCTTTGGCTGCTGTGTGTGCTTGCCTCAAGCGCTGCGTGTGCCTACTCCAGACGCTGCGTGTTCCTACTCCAGACGCTGCGTGTCTACTCCGGGCGCTGTGTGTGTCTACTCCGGGCGTTGTGTGTGCTTACTCCGGGCACTGTGTGTGCCTACTTCAAGCTCTGCGTGTGCCTACTCCAGACGCTGCGTGTGCCTAGATCAGGCGCTGCGCACCTACCACAGGCATAGCCTGTGCATACTCCGTGATGCTTCTAGTTTGAAACCCCATCATCATTTTCATATATTTTTATCTTTTTAAAATTTTAAATAAATTATTCGTTTTTTTGTTGTTTCGTTGTTATTAGGTTAGGTTCTTTAGTATTTTACTGTCGCTTTACGACATTTTGGCGCCCGACGTAAAAGTTCTTCTCTCTTAATTTTTTTCTTTTCTTCACCTTAACTACGCCTTATCCATTTCCTTTTGATTTAATTGCTTTCTCTTTCGTTCTTAACTCTTTATTTACTCATCCTTATCAATAACTTACACTTAAACTAAAATATCTTCACATCACTTACAACTAAAATATCTTCCAAATTCTAAAACAAAACTTCATCTAGTTTTTCAACTTATCTGGATTATATTTAGACCTGCATATAACACTTCACTTACATTCATCACTTTAATATTTTATTTTAGATAACTTAAAGAGGTACAATTTTTAATTAAATTTCTTAAACTTAACTTTGCACTTAAAACAATGAAAAGGGTTATTAAGTACGAATTCCTTAACAAGGCCGAACTCGAATTCGAAGTGAAGATTAGATGTGAGGAACCAGCTAATACTGTTTTGCATGACACTACATTTGTATATATGTTTGTATATATGTATAATTATTACCTGATTAATTTCTTTATCTTTATCTTCACTTAGGAGCGGATGACAACTCCTTAAATAAGCCTGAATGTCCTTTTAGTGATGTTGCTCATCTCTGGCAATGAGCCCTACCGCTCTGGCCGTTCTTAATCTTTACTTAAGTCATAGCGACTACAGCTTGCTTAAGATTAATTTCTTTATCTTTATCTTCACTTGGGAGCAGCTGACTACTCCCTTAATAATTTTTTTCCACGCAGGAGCGGATGACAACTCCTTAAATAAACCTGAATGTCCTTTCGAAAACACACTTTTAGAGTGGTAGTAATTGAATGTGAACTCCACCCTTACTTGAATGCAGATGATGAATGTAAGAGATAGTATATCTGATTTTGCCTGGTGATGTTTGTTTCTGCAAAGCTGTGTTTTTATGGTTTATTTTAGAATGTACATATCAAAATTTTTGCTGAGTCAAAAATTTTCCAGGGTCGGGGGGAAAATGTAGTGTTATGCTACTTACATATCATTTTACACTATTTTAAATTTATTTTTCCATTCTGTTTTTGATTTTCTGCATTCCTTCCATTACATTCTTTCATTCATTTCATTTTGCATTCTTTCCACCTTTATTTCCATAGGATCCTGTAACGTTTTTAAACCATAAGAACACAATAACAAAACATTTTCACATCGTATTTTCACGCTATCAGCACTTTTTAAATCGGTGTCAATGGAGTCTACCTTTTTCGGTCTTTTATTTAGTTCTCCGTAACTCTGCAATTTCGGGCTTCGTGCGCGCTGTTGCGCTACCTTTTTCCTTTATAAATAATATCTCATTTTTCACTTAAATCTTGCCGTTTCTCTATTACGAGCCTAAAACCAAAATTTGACATGTTTTGACATCGTTGTTTATCTGGTTGTTATGGCAATTTTTATTCAAATTCGTTACCGGTCTGATGTTTTTACCTCAATACTTTCACCTAAATACTCTTTTCCTCTTGGCCTTTTACAAAAATTTGCTTTTAATTTAAATAATTTCAAATTTAATTTAAATAATTTCCCGTTCTTATCCCAGATCCGTCAAAAAGTGTAAAAGCCGAACAATCGGCCAATAAAGAAGTCTAACTTCAGCTTTCATACGAGAAGCACCTCCTAAAGGCCTAATCCGCACTGCCTCGGGATCCTGCCTTCTCCTGAAGTCGTCGCCTAGCCACGCCTACGGCTCCACCTACCAGTGCCCGCGCTATCTTTGGCCGCTGTGCGTGCTTGCCTCAAGCGCTGCGTGTGCCTACTCCAGACGCTACGTGTTCCTACTCCAGACGCTGCGTGTCTACTCCGGGCGCTGTGTGTGTCTACTCCGGGCGTTGTGTGTGCTTACTCCGGGCGCTGTGTGTGCCTACTTTAAGCGCTGCGTGTACCTGCTCCAGACGCTGTGTGTACCTACTCCAGACGCTGCGTGTACCTACTCCAGACGCTGCGTGTCTACTCCGGGCGCTGTGTGTGTCTACTCCGGGCGTTGTGTGTGCCTACTCCGGGCGCTGTGTGTGCCTACTTCAAGCGCTGCGTGTACCTAGATCAGGCGCTGTGCGCCTACCATAGGCATATCCTGTGCATACATCGTTTTAGTACTCAATTTATCTTTGTTTTTTTTTTTAAATATTGTAATTCACTATCATCATTACAGCCCATCATCACCTTCATACCTTTTTTTATAAAAGAAACTAAATATCTTTACAAATTTTAATAAATTATTTTCTTTTTTGGTTGTTTCGTTGTTGTTAGGTTAGGTTCTTTAGTTTTTAACTGTCGCTTAACGACAATATATAATATATTTCATATATATAATATTATTATTATAAACTAGCTGATACCCGCTCGCTTCGCTGAGGCACGATAATATTTTCAAGGCACTCTCCTTTTTGCCTCAGCCAGTATTGGAATCCTCGGCGTCGACATATCGAGTGACGTGCAGTTTCGTGGTCACTTGGAAGAGAAGGCCAAATTGGCCTCTATAAAGCTTGGCGTGCTTAGCGGAGCGGGACAGTATTTCATGCCGGCTCACCACCTGCTACTTTACAAGGCGCAGGTTCGGCCGCACATGAAATACTGTTCCCATCTCTGGGCTGGGGCTCCCAAGTGCCAGCTCCTTCCATTTGATCGCATCCAGCACAGAGCCGTTCGAATCGTCGGCGACCGAGCTCTTTCTGATCGGCTTGACTCACTGGCACTGCGAAGAGATGTTGCATATCTTTGCATATTTTATCGCATCTACCACGGGGAGTGCTCTGAGGAATTGTTCGGACTAATTCCAGCCGCACAATTTCACCATCGCACATCGCGACAAAACTCACTATATCATCCATACCATCTGGATGACTGGCGGTCCACCACCGTGCGATTTAAAAGAAGTTTTCTTTCTCGCACAAGTTCCTTGCGGAATCGACTACCACCAGAGATTTTTTCGGACCGATACGACTTAGGGAACTTAAAGAAAAGAGCCTACTCCTTTTTAAAAGGCTGGAAACGCATCCGCAATTCCCTTGGTGTTGCGGTTGCTCGTGGGCGGTGGTAAGCACTTACCATCAGGTGAGCCGTATGCTCGTTTGCTCCCTTTCCTATAAAAAATATATATTACATTCCAAAAGCTGAAAACCATACTAACGCTAAGAACAATTGTGAGGAAAAATACTTCAATGACAGCTTTGACCACAAATTCATGATAACGACGAGACACATCAGTCCACTGCTAAATGTCTCTACGTCTCCAATGATCCACTGAGACACACATAACAGGCAAATCAGCGATTATAGCAACAAACGAATACATCGAATTTCTTCTAACAGAAAAATATCATATCCTTATAGGATATGATATTTTTCTGTTAGAAGAAATTAATAAGTACTTAAAAATGATAATTATTTTTTTTTGCTTCCGTATAAAAAGAAATCGTCACATACAATAAAGGCATCTCATGTAGTAAAGTTACACTCTAAACGTCCCACTGCTGGGCACAGGCCACAGGTTTTAGGGCAAGGAAGTGTCAGCCGCGGAGCGCCAATGCGTGTTGGCTAACTTCACATGTCTTCGAAATTTTTTGTATTATTTCTCAGACTTGCAGGTTTTCTCAGGATGTTTTTCTTCACCGTCGAGCCCGTGGTAAATCATCACTTAAAATTGCAATTAACAATTTCATTGGTGCCGGCGGGGATCGAATCTGTGTTGTTCAAAATTAACAGCGAGCGCTTAGCGCGCAGGCTAGCACGACTCACAAAGACATTTTCATATTAGAGAATTATTAGTTCGAAGACTTACGTAAACACTGTGGTCTGGCTCCTGAACATCTATAAACAACACGTCATCTGTCTTTGGTTTATCTTTCAAAAGACTCTCCATGAAATACGCCAGATCTTGGCATCTCTTAGACATCCGTTGTTTTGCTGTCTCTGCAGGCTTGGTGAATACCTTTTAAATGTTACAAAATATTATATTTGTATCAAAACCATAATATAAAATTTTATAAAACACAAACGCGTTTGATAAAATTTTTACCAAAAAATAGCTATACATTATACATTTGTCATAAAATCTTTTAAACTTTAATTTAAGCGATTTGGTAAAACGTATTCATGGTGAAGTAATTAATTTTATTAGACACTAATTTAAATTCGTTCTAAAAAGTTTAGTAAAACCTTTCATACCAAGCCGGTTAAAACTTTCAAATTGAAACAAAAATAAATATTTTAGATGGAGTACTGACCTCATTTAATACTTTAATGATACTCTCTCTGAGTAATTGTGCCGCTTTCTTTTCTTCTTCAGAAAGTTTCAAGCCCTTTTTCGGCTCCGGTGATTGGAGGACATCTGGATTTGTAGGACCCTGGTAAAAAGTATAAACAATATAATTTAAAATGGATAACTTTTTTTTTATATTAAATGGAAGAAATTATTTCTTTTATAAATAAAAGAAAATTCTTTGAGAATTTTTCGAGAAGTGCCCTTGATTTATAAATTATTTTCCATTCATCCAACTTCTAGTAGACGAAATTTTACTGGAGCTTAAACATTTCATCCCTATTCTAATTCATCCATTTGAAGATTTGTGACAACACAGATTTAGATCGTCAGTCGAGGTTGACAACTTTTCGGACCATGTTTAAAATAAAATAAAAATTACAAGTCTTCAAGTCTAAAAAAAATTTAGAGTTTTCTCTTTATAGTTACCTCAATAACATGATGTTTTCCAATGACGAATTCAAGTTTCTTTGACCACGGGTTTATGAACGAAGACCATTCAGTTTCTAGCTTTATAAAATCACCGTTTTGAGCCATCATCCTGAAATAAAATATATGTACTGATATATTTAGCTTATATTTCTTTGAAACTTAGTTTTGAAGTTTATCAACAATTTTATACACCCTATACAGGTAATTATATCTTATTATATATGTATGGTACCTGTATGGTTTGGTACGGGGTGAACCACCATCTTTTACGATGGTCCCGTACACTTGTCTCAAATAAACCAAATCGTTTGGATGATACAAAAGTAAAGCGTTCTTGTCAGTAACATCCTGGGGTAGATAGCCTAAATATGGCACAGATTCAAGGTCCAAATACTCTAGGTTTCCGTTAGCTGCATGTCGAATGATGAATGGTACCGGATTCGAAACAACTTCGTTGGGTGCTAAACAAAAAAATTAACAAACAAAATGACTTATAGCCTTTCAATATATTTTTATTTAAAATTATCTGTAAATTAAATTTTCGTAACTGTAAATTTAATTTTTAACAACAATATATTATTTAGCTTTTAAATATTAATTAGGAGCTAATTATTTTCCATCATAGCTTACTTATGATGGAAAATAATTAGCTCCTCACACATAATAAAAAATGAAATGTTAAGGATTTAGGAATTAAAAAATACGTACTTCTGAAAGCTGAGAAGAATGGCGTAGCTTGTATTACGAGGTATGTCACCACGCCTTCGTCGTTGCTTACATTCTTAAAAGATAATTTCAGCAAAAAAGGCATGAAGGTTACAATACTTTTTATGCCGAACCCTAAATTTAGATCCTCGCAGCGCCTTATTCTGCATACCATTGAAGCCACTGAATTTTCATGTGGGCTTACTGGAAATAACAAAATTGACATTTAATAAATTACAAAGTTGAAGGTTTGAGAGTGTTGATTAATTTATATATTTTTCTGTATATTAGTGTGGCAAAACGTCAATAATTACAATACCTAAATATTTAAGACTATCCTTCTTATATAAATATAACTGAAATAACAAAATTCCCCTCAATAATTGTTAAATATTTAACGTCTAAGCAATATGGCAACCATTCTGGTGTCAAATTCAAACAAGCAAATAAAGATACCTCATTTAACAACTCTGTTGCGATTATTTGAAAATACATTCACACATAGGCTACTATGTCGTCAACATATATGCATATGTATGCTTAGTGTGCTAAATGTACGCACACAAGTAATATTGATTTGTATATGCAGTTAAATAGCAAGTTACACTTACTAGAGCATTTCCATTTCGAAATATAAAAAGTAATTTTTCTTCATCATCAGCAGCCTATGACAGTACATAAAACAATGATTTATTTTCAACGTCTAATAAAATTAAATACCTATAGTCTTTAAATAATAAAGGACATTGTATTGGTACCCGCATAGTTCATATTATAATATTTTATTATTACAGCCAATAATTCCCTTCTGAATATAGGCCACAGATAGCTAGATAATACATTTAGGGGATAGTAGTCACGCTTGGCAACCAAGTTGGCAACATCATTTTCTAATTTTTTATTGTAATTAGGAAGATGCTGGCGCCCATATGAGGACGCTCAAAGTCGCTCAGCGAGCTATGGAGAGGGCTATGCTCGGGGTTTCTCTGTGATAAACTTAGAAATGAGAATATCCGCAGTAGAACCAGATGACCGACATAGCCCAACGGATTAGTAAGCTGAAGTGGCAATGGGCTGGCCATATAGCTCGAAGAACCGACAACCGTTGGGGAAAAAAGGTTCTCGAGTGGCAGCCTCGTACCGGTAGGCGAAGTGTAGGGCCCCCATTTGATGGACTGACGACCTGATAAAACATGCAGGAAGTCAATGGATGCAGGTGCCACAGGACCGTGCTTTGTGGCATCACTTGGGGGAGGCCTACGTTCAGCAGTGGACCCGTGAAGGAATGTAATGATGATGGCGCCCATCTTCTGTTTTATTTCCTTCTGTCGTTTCTTACCACAGCGACGGGACGATATGAGACAGTAAATATTCTGACACTGCCACTACACAGTTTCGGTAATATTTTATGTAGCCAGCAATTGAAATAAAATTATAAACACGTCCTTATCGTCCGCATTCAATACTTAAGAAATTAAATGTAATACATTCTTCATAAACTATGTAATATTTTTCATAAAAATGTTACAAGACCTTTCGAGTTTTCAGATTTTCGGGCGTATTTGGATCTCCATCATCCAATCTTTTTTTTTATAGGACAGGGTGACAAACGAGCACACAGTCCACCTGATGGTAAGTGGTTGCTGCAGCCCATGGATGCGTTGTCACCCGTGAGGACTAAGATGGAATGACTCGTTTCCAGTAAAAAGGGTCTCCGGTTCTCTACACTCATTATACGAAACACAGCAGCATTAAGCTACTATTTCACGCTGGTATTTTTCTGAGAGAGCGTGGTCCTTCCCCGGTCGGGCCGACCCATTCGTGCTACAACTATACTACTAATATAACTGCAGCATGGCTCTACCACGTATAAAATCTCTTAAAACACTTCAATAATAATTCTCAGAAACTCTTTTATCTCTATAGCCGATTGATTTATGTTCTACCACCATCATTGCCGTCAGAGGCACTATGAAAACAGCGATTAAAATATTATATTACGACACCATCACAATTGTATTACTTGTCTACGGTCACTACGGTCACCACTCCTATGATACTGTAGTATTTAAAATCCGGCATATGCCACTGACACTGAAAATTTGTGCCGTATGGATGGCACAGTTCACAAAATTTGACATTTCCTCAAATTAATTTGTTACGTATAACTGTATATCTTCAAAAGTGTTTGGAATCTATACGATGAGAGGCCCAGCATTTACAATGGGCACTAATAAGTTGCTAATAAAATAACATTACCTTTTTCTTGCGTACCATTTTCGTTTTTCGGTAAGGCTAAGCTGTTCGTTATCTGCGAGGCGAACGCATTGCGATCCTGCAACGAGTTCAGATATTTTATGTACTTCTTAATTCAAATTAAAATCCATATTTTTTATAGTATTGGGTAACAAACGAGCACACAGTCCACCTGATGGTAAGTGGATGCTGTAGCCCATAGACATACACATTTATCCTTAATTAAGAATCAAAATGCAAATGCTTTGTCACTCCTGAGGACTAAGATGGAATGCCTCGGTTCCAGTAGAAAGGGTCTCCGGCTCTACACTCTCCATACGAAACACGGCAGCATTACGCTACTATTTTACGCTGGTATTCTGTGAGAGCGTGGTCCTTCCCCGGTAGAGACGACCAATTCGTGCTACAATAATAATAAACCTGCAGCGTGGCTATACCAAGAAAAAAATATTACTATTTTTATTAAAATTTAAGCTACAAACAAGTTTGAATATCATAAAAATATAATAAAATAGTTGTCACAATTACGTGACTACAGCTACAAACTTCAAATAAAAAAGGCTACGACACGTATATTCCACCTTGAGAGCTAAGATGGAATATCTGCCTGAAACCATACAGGTCCTTTCACCATTTAGACCAGGACACAAGAGTGGATGTACTTTTGCTTAGTAACAGTATTATATAAGTATTCATTGGTACGTCTGTTAGTGATCGTGTAACTTCTGAAAGACTTGTCGGTCAAATTCATACCTATGCTAGGGTCAGATAGGTGGCGCCGTCGTGCAGTTATTATCGAAGTTCTTACGATATCCACATTTTAAATGGCCATAAATAGAAAATTACTTACCCTTGGATGAACAAAGTCGATGAAAGTTTTTCCGATCCACATGTCCTTAGGAAATCCGAGGGTGGTAGTGACCGACGAAGTCGTGTACAAGACCACACCATTATGCATAGAAATCACGCAAGAGAATCCATTCTAAACAAAAAAGAAAACAATATGATTTCTAATATTTACGCGTACACTACACATTGAATAATACTGTTACAGATTTTATAGTTATTAACCTTTAGCTTTTTGATTATTAAAAAGTTTGATGGTGCCCCGGGTTAAGTCTGACCTTAGTCTCTCGTAACCGTGGCTGCTGAAAAGCACCCGAAACGTCGGATATTAAAATCAAGTAAATTAAACGCGATAAAATTCGTAACAGTAGTTTTATTCAAACAAACAATATTTAATAATTTACTATAAACAAATCTCTTCCCTCAGTTGTGCGCAGACCTTTACTGATAAACTTAAAACACACTTAACTGAACTAAAACTCAAGATTTTATCTGATTTCATTTTCTTGAAGTAACACTTCTTTAGGCGTTACTTGAATGTAACTCACATCCTTTAAGAACCAAAATAACAAAAGTCCTTTTACGCTGTTTCCGCAATCACGTTTTAAATGCCCCATACTTAAAACAAATAAATAATATTTTAAGCTAAGAACAAATTGTTTGATATACTCACAGGACAAGATGGTGGTGGCCGACTGGTATAGTAGCTCAATACATTGATGGGAGATACAGCCGCGGGTCCAACCTACATATTATAAAATGAATATTATTAAAATTAATACATCTACAATATTTATATAATGATAATTTAAACGGCCTTGATTACGCATTGATTATGTTATAACTTTTCTTAATCTAAGTACACAAACATATTATATCTGACGGAATATTTGCACCAGAAGTATTTTTTAAAACTATGACGTCATCATTGATGACGTCATTATTGAGATTTCTAGTTTCACTCATTATTGTTTTCTTTAATAATAAGAATCACTTATTTACTTTTAACTGATTTTACTAATCACAACTAATATTTACTCACAATCAACAATTACACGCTATTGTTCACAATTAACGATTTAATAATTATCAACTATTGTTCACAATTTATAGTTAGCGAATTCAATTTACAGTCCGAACAGCACGACAGCTCGAGCAAGAATGAATCCTGCCCCCTTTTTTTCCCTCCGGAAAATTGGGGGAGGGAGGTTGGGAATGCTCATAGCATACCACGCAGCCGGCTGCGTGGTTATGTGGTGACTTTTACCCACTAAACCCAACCTTTTAGGAACTGGCTTAACGATCTGACTAGAGATCTCTAAGCCGTATACGAACGCGACCCTCCTTGGCAGAAAGGAGGGCGCAGTCCTCCTCCTGCCCCCGCCGTCGCGCGCCTTTTAAAACGAATGCGACTGTGCGCAAGCCATCCCCACTTCCTGCGCTTTGAGAATGATTACCTTCAAATTGTTATAGCGACAACCCGCATTTAATTATATTGTGAATTAAAGTATTTTGAATTATTTATCTGGTAACAATAATCAACTAATTATAAAAATAAAGACACATGTTATAAAAATCAGCTTATAACGTTATTTAAGAAGTTGAAATAACGTCTATTGATTTTTAACTGAATAATAATTGTTTAAGTAATGCGCCGATACGTCGCATAAACTTTGTTGCGCCGATACGGCCATTCTGATTGGTGGTGCGTGCTCAGCACCTACCAAAATTTGTGTTTCGACCATACATCACGTCTACACACATAATTCTCGTCATCTCGTAGAATGGAAATGGAGTGATGCTGTGTTCTGAGCGGTCCTGTTCGCCCTGGTACACAGGGGCTCTATAGGAACTAGGATAAGGTCGATGCTGTGTTATACACAGTGGCTCTAAAATAGAAAGTTGAAAATTATTTTACAAGCGTTAAAAGTTTTGTTCTCGAGTTAGGTTCTGCTGTTATGATTCTTAAGAAGTGGATGGGCCTGGCTCACTTGTTGCACTAATATAACAAGAGTATGGCTCCCTTTCCGCCGATACGGCCCTCTGGTTTCCTGGCTGCGGGGCACGACGTAGTTGATCGTGGGCGACTTTTCGAGGCCGTCCTCTGCCAATTACCTTTTTTTACCAAATAACGGTCGTTTTCAAGTACTCTACATATCTCATAGGGTTCACTAAATTTGAGATCTAATGAGGTTTGATTGCGTGGATTATTTTTGATAAGTACGTATTCTCCTTTCTGAAAATGACAGATCTTAGCTTAACGTTGATTAAATCGTTGTCTATCTTGTTCCGACGCTTGAGACATTCTATTCTGCACGTGTCTGGAAAGGGAGTCAATATCGATAGTTTGATTATCAATATTTACTAACCCGAGTAGTTCCGGTGGAACACAGTGTTTTCGTCTTGTAAGTAGAGTAAGCGGAGCGACACCTGTTACTCGATGAGCAGTAAAATTTATGGCCAACTGAAGTTCTTCTAATGCAGTATGCCATTGTACTGTTTCATAATTTTTTATCATTATTAATGCATTTTTAAGCGTTGCTATTATTCGTTCAACTTGTCCGTTAGCTCGGCTGATTCCTGGTGATATATCATAGATGTTTATTCCAAGCTGTTGGCAATAAGTCTTGAATTCCCCCAAGAATTCTCTGCCTCCATCCACAATAATTTGAAATGGTGTTCCGAATAGGTGTATAGTACGTTTTAGTGCAGCCAATGTGCTGTGCAGACTTTTATTGATAGCATAATAAAATAGCACATATTTTGAGAAAGCATCGATAGTTACTATAACATATTGTTTGTCATCTGTAGTACCGAGCTTGCCAGTGATATCCATATGTATCACTTGAAAAGCTGTAATTGGCTTTTGGATTGGATGTAGTTGAGCTTGTACAGCGCCCGATGTTCCTTTTGATGTTCTGCACACGATACAGTTGTCCACAAATCTGCGCACCAGGGTATTCATTTTATCAAACCAGTAAGATTCTTTAATTTTATGTAGAGTCTTTTCCCATCCAGGGTGCTTAAGCGCTGTATGAAATGAATTTATTATACTCCACTGGAAGGATTTAGGCACCACAATACAGATTTGCTGTCCAAAAATTGGGTCTCTTACGATTCGTTTTAAAAGATCGTTTTCTAGAAGGTACCCATCCACTGGATTTCCGTTATTGAAGCTGTCCATCAGACGACGTAACATCTCATCTCGGCGTTGTTCGACCTTTAACCAATCCAGGTCTCTTGTCATAATGTTAACCTCACAACTACTTGGATTTCTTCTAAAGAAGTCGGCATGTTGCAGACGATTTCATTTGCGATATTCTACTTCAAAATCATAGTTCTGTAAAAACGCCCACCACCGATGAATTCTCGGGAGATCCTTTTTGCGCTTAGATGCCTTTAAGGCATTGCAATCGGTTATAATTTTGAACTTCCGTCCATACAGGTACTGTCGAAAATGTTTTATTGCACGTACTACCGCCAAGGTCTCCAGCTCGTACGAGTGATATCTGTTTTCAGTACCAGTAGTCCTCATACTCATGAAGGCAACTACATGTTGACGTTTGTTGATTATCTGTACTAGTACGGCACCAAATCCCAAGCTACTAGCATCCGTGTATAATTCTATCGGTGCTTCTTCCTGAAATATTGTTAACACAGGAGATGATGTCAAACACTGGATTATCTTATTACGTGCTTCTTCGTGTCGATCATTTCACTCCCACTTAGCACCTTGTTTAGTCAACTCATACAAGGGTGTCATTTTACGGGAAAAGTCGGGGATAAATTTCCGAAAATATCCAGCTAAACCGTTGAACCGTCTTACTTTTTTAGCAGTATTTGGTACTGGTGACTTGACTAGAGCTTCAACTTTCTTTGGACTTGGACGGATTTGACCACCATTGGGTAACAACGTTACCCAAATATTCTATTGAGCGTTTGAAGAAGCTGCACTTATCTGCATTAATAGAAAACCCAGCCTTCTGTAATGCTATGATAATGCGTTCAATATTTACTAGTCCTTGAGCAAAATCAGCACTTTTACTCAAAACATCGTCGACGTAAACTTGAGCAGCACTCCCTAGTAACGAAAACAATGCCCTATTAATACACCTTTGGTACACTGCACATGCATTGGATAAACCAAATGGCATAGTAAGGTATTCATATAACCCATCAGGTGTAACAAATGCAGTCTTCTCTATGGAATTCTCCGAAATAGGTATCTGATGGAAACCTGCCGCCATATCAAATGTGGTGAATTAGAGTCCATTGGCCAGTTGATCGATCTGGTCGGAGATGAGTGGGAGTGGGTAATGGTCCCGCAATGTATTGGCATTTAATTCGCGGAAGTCTACACAAAGACGGTCATCTCCATTCTTCTTTTTTACCAAAATAATAGGGCTTGAGTATGGCGATTTGCTCTCACGTATAATGTTGTGCTTCAGTAATTCGTTAACAATGCTACGAACCTTTTCCCTCTCCACTGGGCTGAGGCGGTATGGTCTTCGTTCAACGTATTTATCCGGATTCTTCAATCTAATTTCTAACATACCTGTATTAACTCGGGTTTTAGGGTATCCTCGAGTAAATAGGTGTTCAAATATATTAAGGAGTATGCGAAGTTGTTTGATCTCTTCAGGGTTGGAAAGATCACAGTCTAGTTTTTCAAATATTGGATTATTTGTGGTGATATGATTGACAAACCCTTGGTGTACTAATTTTGTTTCGCTAGACGTGACTATAACACTCAAATTTGTGCCTCGAATCAAGTTCATGCCCACCAAAATGTCTGTCGACATCTCACAGTCAGGCAGAACATAAAATTGAATTTCAACGCTGATATTATCTATGACACATATAGTCAGTAAGCTCGTGAGTGACAGTACGGGAAATCGTCCAATACCTCTCAAGTAGTTAGCTGTTTGAACTCTTTGTCCAGGCAGAGCTGCGGCTACAGATTCCCGTATAACTCAACATTCTGCACCACTGTCGAACACTGCCCTTAAAGATTTTATTCCTATCCTGATAGTTAAAGGGGATAGTTTTGCACCTTCAATGTGATTTACATTTGATGTCAAAGAACGATCACGCTTAAAGCATTGGTCGTAAGTTTGTCCTAATTTTTGACAAAATGTGCAGGTAGACTTACTATCACTTTCACTTCTTTTACTAAATTGTTCCTGACTCGATGCTGTTGGTTTGAAACGACATTCATCGGCAGAATGATTTTTCCTTTTACAGATGCGACAGAATGATGGAGCGTAAGCATGATTATTGCTTGATAACCAGGGACGTTTGTGTGGCATTGTCATGCTACTATTTGTTGGATGAACGCGCTATAAAAAAAAAAAAAAAAAAAAAAAAAAAAAAAAAAAAAAAAAAAAAAAAAACCACTTTATATATTTTATAAAAAATAAAAAAAAAAAAAAAATATTAAAAAAATTATATAAAAAAAAATTTTATTTATGGTTTTTTGTATTTTTTTTTTTTTTTATTTTTAAAAAAATATAATCCCCCATCATCCTTTTCATCCTTCAAATTATCCCAACATATTTAAATTTATTTTAATAGTATTGAGGATGCAGTAGTAAGTTCTGGCATTGTTGTTGCGCGCGCGTTTAATAGTTCAATCCGTAGATGTTCATCACTAATACAACCTATGACGGCCTCAACCGCATCTTCTTTATCTAATTTATCCTTGGTAACTAGTCTCCATAGTACCCACGCTTTCGATAAGAATTCCGCTATATCCTTTGATAAATCAAAAACATGTTCCCTGAATCTTAATATGTCTCGAGAATACCGGTTTTCTGGTTCAAATGTAGTTATAAGTTTGTTGCGTAGTTCTTCCCAAGTAGATGTAGTTATCATCCAATCATCGACCCACATTTTAGCGCGTTCTTTCAATAAACTGCCAACCCTCATGCGTATATCAAAATCATTGAGGTTGTACGTTTGAATTGCTTTATTAATATATAATCAAAAAGCCTAAAGATGAGCAAATGTAAAAGAAGCTTGTCAAAAATTTGGATAATTAGTTTTACATTGCATATGTGTTTTGATTTTTAAATTAACTCTGATAGATTTATAACTGCGTGGTAATATTTTAAATAGCTGCGAATAACTTTTCAGGTAACAGTATTTGTAGTTAAAACCTACTGGAAACCTTATTTACGAAGTAAAAAGATGAATAGGTTTTAATTTGAGTCGTGACTGGTATTAGGGGCATCCACGCTATCAAGGAATTTTAAATCTCTCCAGAACCATAATTAATTTAAACATTTATGTTTAAATTCTTAATTTGTATTTATTGTAACTTTAAAAATGACAACAATTTATAAAAATATTTAAATTATTATTAAAGATAGGTAAAATAAACATAAAATAATAAAGTTCAAACCTCTAAAAAATTAAAATTAAAAACCAAACAAAGAAAGGCCGATAAAAAGACATACAAATAAGGAAATTATGTAATATATTGTTACGAGCTTAGATGGTTCGCCATCTAGTACCGGATGATTCCATTCGATACTAGATAGCGCTAGTGGGAGAGTTCCTATTTCTGCTGCTTGATATCAGATGGCGCCAATAATCAGCCGCCACATACCAGGCGCTAATTATAGCGCGCAACAATATAAAAATACATAAACATAATTGACATGGCTGCACAAGGTATACTTATCATTTTGCATGTGCAACTGCTGCCAAGTCGAACGGCGAGTTATAAATAACTGACAAATGATGGAATTAACGGAAACAAGTGACGAGAACAGAGGAATGTGACGGTACATTTGCTAATTTTTTTTAAAAGGGGTGTAGTTTTAGTCCCCGACGGGCTTCCGCATTGTACTAGGTACTTTACGAAAAGTTGACTCACAAACGCGACGTCGTCGTCCTTTATGCTGCTATTTTCCGGTGCAGCAATGTCCATTCCCTCGGCATCCTTTTCGGGAGAAGCGAGCGCCTGCGATGGTATCGGGGCAACTGTACAACAATATTACAGAAGGTAGATAAACTTCGTCGCATAGTGCTAATATCTTTTTCATAATTTCAAAAAACTCCATGAATACAATCGCGAACGTTTAAAATATTCTTTACAAAGCCGCGTTAATGCAGGGATAATATAAGCTACTAGTGATCTGCCTCGGTTCCACACAGGTGATATCTGGATTCTACAACAGCGCCACCTACCGGGTCCAACTATGTTTATGATAGACTAGTGACCTGCCCCGGCTTCGCACGGGTGATATCTGGATTCTACAACAGCGCCACCTACCGGGTCCAACTATGTTTATGATAGACTAGTGACCTGCCCCGGCTTCGCACGGGTGATATCTGGATTCTACAACAGCGCCACCTACCGGGTCCTACTATGTTTATGATAGACTAGTGACCTGCCCCGGCTTCGCACGGGTGATATCTGGATTCTACAACAGCGCCACCTACCGGGTCCAACTAATCTGGATTCTACAACAGCGCCACCTACCGGGTCCTACTATGTTTATGATAGACTAGTGACCTGCCCCGGCTTAGCACGGGTGATATCTGGATTCTACAACAGCGCCACCTACCGGGTCCAACTATGCTCATAACCTTCGTGGAAGTGCAAGCAATATGTTGACAAAGTTTTACCGCGATCTGTTGAACGGTATGGCAGCGCATATAAATACGAACAAACATAATTACTCGTATATGTTAGATTGTAGTAAAACTGAACTCAAAGACATCGCTTCTTACTAAAAATAAAATGTCTTTGTTCTTACTAAAAACAAAACCTGAAAACGAGACTGTACAACCAGTGCGAGTTGCTAGTGATGACTTATGGAACTGAGACATGGTCCTTCACTGCTGGCCATATAAGGAAGCTTAAAGTCGTTCAGCGAGCTATGGAGAGTGCTATGCTCGGGGTTTCTCTGCGTGATAAACTTGGAATGAGGATATGCGCAGTAGAACCAGAGTGACCGACATAGCCTAAAGGATTAGTAAGCCGAAGTGGCAACGTGCCGGGCATATAGTTCAAAGAATCGAATACCGATGGGGAAGAAAAGTTCTCGAGTAGCAGCCTCGTACCGACAGGCAAAGTGTAGGGCGTACCCCTACTAGATGGATTGACGACCTGGTAAGATATGCAGGAAGTCGATCGATGCAGGTGGCTCAGGACCGTGCTTTGTGGCATTACTTGGGAGACGCCTATGTCCAGCAGTGGACTTGTGAAGGGCTGTAATGATGATGATGATGATAGGCCTCTGAATCCACTTACCATCAAGATGACTGTGTGCTCTTTTGTCACTAAGAGTGACAAAAGAGCACACAGTCTGTCAGTCAGTCAGTATTTTTTTTAAAAAAACTTCATGAACATACAGAGAGCGATGCCAGGAATAATCTATCCTGAAATGGAGGAATGTGAATTCGAAAAACTAACAAACTAAATGTTTTCCGATGATACTCATAAAGCATAAGAGATAAAGGTGTTTCGAAGCACACTTTTTTTGATTGTAAAATTACACAAAAAGGTCCTCGCACTTTATATTCTATCATTACCACACTACTTCAACAATATTTTACAATAAAACCATCAGTGTTAAGGGATTATGTGAGTAAGACGATTTTTACGTGAAATTATAAATAACTGTTTTAAACATTTCCGAAATAGAACATAGAGTTTTATAGAATAAGGGTGGCAAGCGAACACAATCCACCTGGTAGTAAGTGAATTCTGTGGCCCATAGACATATATATATATCTTCAATTAAGAATCAAAATGCAGATGCCTTGTCACACCTGAGGACTGAGATGGAACGCCTCGTTTCCAGTAAAAGGGGTCTCCGGTTCTCTAGATCTAAGCGAAGTTGCGAGTAAAGAGGTGCTAAATTGAAATAAATTCTAAAAGGCGACGGATAAAAAGTAAGTAAGTTATTTTAATCATACATATTATAAATATTGTGGATGGGATGTCTAATGAAATATGTTCAGCGCTACCAAAAGTAAGTGGAAAATCTAAAATTGCACGCGTTTTTTATTTTTTTCATCAAAATTTTATTTAAAATATGATGAAAAAAAATCTTTTAAACGTCAATGAATCTGATAACAATCAGTAATGCAGACCATCCTGAGGATAAATCAAAACTTATTCAGAAAGATTCATTCAAAAAAAAAAGATTCAATCATTTCGTTTCATATATTTTTCTGAAAATGGAAGACAAACAAGGGTACAGGCTAACTGACAGCCGTACTAATAATTTTTAACTACATTTTTTGTTATGTAAAATTAAACTTTATGTTATATTTAATGCCACACTTGTGGTTGAAAATTATTTTATTAAATGAATTGTTTGCTGTGAAATATTTTTATTTCATATTTCATTTCATTTGAAGGTTTCGCATGTGAACTTCACACACGTTTGTTTTAATTTATTCAGTCAAATACTAAACAATTTGGATAAAAAATGGAAACGGGCCCATCAGTGTCGGCAGCCACATCATTATCATCACCAAAGCCTGGCGTTCCTGAAGAAGATGAGGTAGACTTAGAACTCTACAAGTTACCAGGAACTATCCAGCGGCAACGAGATGAAAAATTGTAATTCATTTATTCTTCAATTTTTTTTCCTATAAATTATTTTAACTGTCTGTAATTGTAATAAACATTAAGTCTTTCACTGTACTGTATAAGTTATATATACACATTTTGATTAGTTAACTATTATGTCTACATTGCAGACAGGGAACCTATTTAATAATTTTTAACTACATTTTTTGTTAATATATAACTAAACAAATTAATAAAAGATACGCTGACATTATAAATATCAAAACAAACAAATTTCAAAACATCTTTTTATTGATTTAGTGTCTAAATTGAGACATACTAAGAATTTTATGTTCCAAATTCGTTACAAAGCGGCATGTCGAGAGTAGAGCAATCCCACGATCCCACGCTCGCGCGTTGTGAGGCAATATAACTTAAGTAGGTACAAACTTCATGATAGCAATAAAGTTGTTTAACGCAGTATAATACATTTGCTTTAAAAAAAGTACTTTTGGAACTCGAAGAATTAGTACAAAAATAATTTAAGTAACTTGTTACTTAGCTTGACCTCATTATATTTCAAGGTTCTACGAAATTTAAGTTTTAAGGTTTCGTCGCCTAAAGCGATATAACAATCGGTTAAGTTACACAAAAATCACTTTTAATCAACTTTTATAACAATTAACCTTCCACCATGTAGCAAAACGTGGCACGTTTCCCTAAAATCTAAAAGAAAGTAGATATTAAAACCAGTTGAGGCGGAATAGTAGTGTTTTTGTTTTCAATCATCAATCAAAAACAGCATGCTCACTCCTTTTTATCCGACAGTCGCTTCGTGTAGCAAATTTTCGCTTGCTCTAATTTTTAAATTTCATGGCCTGACGACAAACATGATTTATAGGACAAATTTTCGTAAACAACTTTACAAAAATTCGTCCGTTCAACTAGAAACCAGTTATTTAAAGTAAGCGTATTTTACCACTTTGTTCATCTTTTTTAAACGAAAGTGGAGAAAGTAACTCCATTCCTATTCTACCCAATACGAAAAGTATGGTATCTCAGGGGCTTAGCTGTTAATTTCACAGCCCGGGCTTAATCCTTGCCGGCACCAATTAAACTGTTAATTGATTTACCACGTGCTCGACTGGAAGGATGAATTCGCATCACGAAGACACCTGCATTTGTGAGAAATTTAAAAAAGTATATTTTGAAGTCATCACGGCGGACATTTCTTTGGCCAACATTCAGGTAATTAGTCAGTTAAAGTACAAGAAGTCAGATTTTCAAACTTTGTTTAAGTTTTGTTTATCTCCTACTCGCAATTACTAGCAGTATTTACCTACGACGAAAATCAAATAATATGTTGTGCTTAATGCTAGTCTTATCACCCACCATCATTGGCGTCTTCTCTTGGCGATTTGAAAATCGGCACTGGCTCCAACAATTCGGTTTTGACACCCTTATGCACCTCAGTTGATATTATCTCCGTTTGTACAAATTTCTTCTTTTTTGCATCCCCTTTTAACCTTTTCTTAGGCGGCTGGTTTACGTTGTTACTGTGAAAAAGAAAGTACAATGACAGTATAATGCATTGTTTTTATATATAATGCAATTTTTTCGAGGAAGCTCTCACTAAGGCTAGAAATTTAAAAAAATATGATAGTTATTATTATAACACTTGATATATATTTACACACATGGAGCAATTTAATACCTTTTTGTAATATCAACAATAAGATAGAAATACATCTAACTTGTTTTCCAAATGACAACCTCACGTGCTTGCCTTACACCTCAAATTTTATATTATCTACCCGCTTCGGCATGCCTGGAGTGATCGAGTTTAAAGTTAAACTCATCACTCCAGGCAGGCCGAGTAGAGAGCGGTCGATACCTTTGTACTGTCGATAATATAAAGAATTGTAGGTTATTTTTCTATGTTTAGAATGGATACGTTTAATGGATCAACAATATATTTGGATGTTGCAAGTGTTCATTAGTTAGCTAAGTGTAAGGCAAGCACGTGAGGTTGTCATTTGGAAAACAAGTTAGATGTATGTCTTTCAAGTAATATGCTAATTCATGTTTTCTTGTAAATGTCTACATTCGCAAGTTGTTTTAAAACGGTAAGGTGAGATATGAAGAACAGCAGAAAACGGTCTTACATAGTGTTATTTAGTTCAAAAACTGCAAGGAATGCAGGCATAAGTGTTTTTTGCGAATGTAATTTTTTAATAGGATGTGATATTGTTATGGGAGTGACAAACGGATACACAGTCCACCTGATGGTAAGTAGTTGCTGCGGCCCATAGACATCTACATCTATCCTCGACTACAAATCAAAATGCAGATGCGTTGTCACCCGTGAGGATTAACATGGAATGCCTCCCTACCAGTAAAACGGATCTCCGGTTTTCTATACTCATCATACGAAACAAAGCAGCGTTTAGCGGCTATTTTAAGCTGGTATTCTGTGAGAGTGTAATCCTTCCCCGGTTGAGCCGACCTACTCGTGTTACAACTATATTATAATATGTATATATACAGAGTGGCTATACCACGTATAATTATTAGTGGAAAGTTAATGTGACAGTACTTTACATGACTCTTATATTTACAATCAGTAGCGCAGTAACGATACAGCGCAATGTTAATATTGTATAAATAAACAATTAAGTCTGACTTAAAATTCACTCCAGGTTTCACGAGCCTACTCACAGTCAACGGCTTGCTGCTATTTGGTGTAAATGCGGCCTTAAAGAAAAATATTCTTAAATTATCAGGCAGCGATATAAGTATCGGTAAAATAATGAAAACAATGAAATGAATGAGAGCAGGTAAGACAGCTGAGTCGCCGGGAGGGAATGAGAGCTCTGAATGACAGGGTGAGTAATTTTGTGATAAGTGAAGTTTGGATTGCAAGATGTCGCGTCCAGGATTTAAAAAATAATGTTTCGGTGGCATGGAAACGTAGAAAGAATGAAAAAGGAAAAGTGACAAAGCAAATTTGTACAGCATTGTGTAGTGCGAGTGGCAATGTGGACAAAGGACACTAGCGAAAGTTTATCGAAGTAAATTAAAGATGGGCCAAGTTAAGTGTACCCTTAACCGAAGATATTAGATGTAAAATAAGGAAAGGTGTGTCATGATCGTACCAAATGAAAGTTCGTAGTCTTTGCCTACCCCACTGAGTGTCAGGCGTGAGAATTTATAAATTATGGATTGTGTAAATCAACAACAAAAATCGGTCTGCTTTTGGTAGCATAATCTTACATTTAAGAATTGACAATTTCATTGGTGTGGGCGGGAATTGACCACACTTGCTTCGCGTAGAGTAAAATTTTCGACGAGCGGGGCCTTCACTTTTTTCCTTACAATAAAAAACAAAAAGGGCCCTGACAGATGAGCGAAATTAGGTTCATCATTTTGACGGTTCACCAACTTTTTATTTCTTGTCATATTACAAATGGAAAGGTCTTATGAAATTTCTTTTTAGCCAATTGCTCGTGAAGCAGCACACACGCCACCATAATATTCCTTTTCAAGTCCCTAATAAGGACTAGTCATTTTGCTACAGTACTAGGAGCAGTCAGTCACCCGACCACCCCATACAATGCTTATGCATCAAGGAGACCTCCTATAATATTGCTTTTGTATCATAGACCTTACTCTCATAAATCATGTATATATAGGATTCGAACCCACGACCCTACTATTGTAATGCATATTAATCATAGAGACCTCCTATAATATTGCTTTTGTATCATAGACCTTACTCTCATAAGTCATTCATATATAGGATTCGAACCCACGACCCTACTATTGTAATGCATATTAATCATAGAGACCTTCTATAGTATTGCTTTTTTCTTTACTTACATATGTATTTACTTTGGATAAAATGACGTTTCCCCTAGACTACTCCAATAAAAAAATACTTAATAGGTATCATTACCTGTATCCCGAAGTGTTGGGTTTTCCACCATAACCACTACTTCCGCTTGAATTACTTCCCGAGTGTGTTGACTTCGAACTATAAAAAAATTATAACATGTTGATATTGAGAAGACGCATTTATTACAAAGCAATATAAAACTATTCGCCGTGTAGTAGAATCCACTCATGTGTCCGTTGCCTCATACGACACATAAGGGCATATTATTAGCCCTTGGGTGTCGTATGAGGCAACCGACGGAAACTAAAACGAGATCAGCGGTAGCATCTTTATAAAGGCTACTAACAACATGTGAAGAATTACATTATCAAAAATTACATCCATTACAGCCTATATATAGGTCCGTACACGTTGAAATATTCACATAATATATTGAGGATATGAGTTATTTTGGTGCATAAATTAATATAGAACTTAATTTAATAAATAACTTGATTACAGTGCCATATATCCGATCCTGGCATACAACATTGTCTCTACAAAACAAATATATTGTGTGAATATGACTGTGTAGGTCGTTCTTATCTATCTATCACAAACCGACGCATTAACATTTGTATATTTGAGAAGATTAATTATACTAATAATACATAATAATTAATTGCCACATACCTCCGTCTAGATTGACTATTGCTGCAGCTGTTTGAGTACGCTGAATCCGATACTTTGGCATTATTTTCTGAGTCGTCCATGATGTCCATTATAAAATACCTATTTCAAAATACAAAAAAAATGAATTTAAAGCTCACCTAAATTAACATTTAGCAGCGAAAATTATAATCACATTGCAGAAATAACTCAATCAAAAAGTTCAAGTTTCGTAAATATATCCAATTTTAAATAATGTTTTCAGGGCCGATTTTCAATTATCAGATAAAATTCCATCAAATAAAATATAGCCTGACTGATGAATATAAGTGTGAAACAATTGAACTATTTTTAGTTATTATTATTATTATTTATTAATTTATGTTTTATAATAAATGATTAACTTTTAGGTACCTAAAAATTGAATATTCTGCCCTTAGTGAGTTACGATGCCCCCTTTCTTACGCTAATGATAGAATTCGCTACGCCAAAACCGATCTCTAAGAAAGCAAGTTTTAAAGTGTTAAAAAATATTAAAAAATTTATAAATTGGAAAAATACGCAGCCGATTATGGTAACATAAGTGTTCTATATAGCGTGTGGATGTGGACAGTGGATACAAAGGAGCGTGTTTGTCAAGCACACAGCACTACGCAGCATGCTCCTTCCGGTGTCGCTGCACGCTAAGCTAATAATTGTCATTTAGATAAGTAGGACAGGGAGTGAGGAGTGTAGAGAACCGGAGACCCGTTTTACTGGAATCGAGACATTCCAGGTGACACCGCATCCGCATTTTGATTCTTAATCGAGGATAAATGTAGATGTTTATGGGCCACAGCATCCACTTACAATCAGGTGGACTGCGTGCTCGCTTGCCACCCTAATTCTATAAAAAAAATACTCCGCAGTCGGAATCCTATAAGGGTTCCGACTTTTCCTTTTAAGGTATAATTCCATGAACCATCCATTACAACCCATAAAAGACCATTGTGAAACATAGGCATAGGCATTGTGAAACGAGGCATTCTATGAGAATCATAGAATGCCTCGTAGGGAAGATTTTGCCATAGGTGCCAGCCACGCTTGACAAGGCGGGTTCACAACCGCCGTTTATTGTTATTTTGAATTGTTATGAAGATGCTGCAGCCATTTTTCTGTTCCAGTTGCCGTCTGTCGCCTCTTACGAAGCCCACGAGACGATATGGGGTAATGGATATTCTTACATCGCCATGACACGGTTGTGTTGAGGTACGGCACCCCAAAAACACAAAACAACGGTCGTGGTAATGATAAATTAAAAAAGTTATGGCAGGGTAATTTTTTTGTTTAAAACAAAATTAAATGTGAATGGGGATGGTTGATGGCTTCATTTATTTCTTATTTTTTAACGAAATACGAGTACGAGGGGCACACTGATAAATGTAAGAGAATTATATCATTTCTTGTATTTATAAATTAAAGTTTGTTGCTCAATAACTTACACCATCCAGTAAATCCATCACCCAGTTAAACCACCCAGAAAATTCCGACACAAGCCCTCATTTCGCTAAACAACGAGCCTTTTTTTAAATCTATACAAATTTTATTTTTCTAATGATACACATGAAATATAACAAATTTTCAGGATACTTTTAATATCTCCAAGATCGCCCGTATTTCGATAAATGATTAACTATAGGATTACTGAGAGAGTGATAGAGATGAGGATTACTAGAGATCTACAGCAAAACAAAAAAGGAATGTAAGAAATTGATTTCAAAAATTTTTAACTCCCTTAAATTATGAGGAAACAGAGACAATATTACAATACAGATACTAAATGAACACATCCACATACATACACCCATACTCAGAACATACTCACACAAATTTACGAGTATATATACCACATCATATACTACAACTACTAAATACATATACACTCTATGTACGTAAAATACTACCCTAATATATTATATTATTGATGTATTAATGCTTTGGGACCGATGGTAGGATACTAAAGTCATGTTTTTATTATCTTTATTATTTACTTTAGGATATTTTATTTCGTTAATAATATTGTAATTCTTAGCTATGGAAGAGCGAAGTCACCTGTTAGAGGCATTATTTTGCTTACTAGGTGACTTCGATCACTGATCACATAATGTAACATTAATGTTTGACGAAATATATAATTTATTTATTTACTGAGGCCAACCGTATTACACGATATTCGTAAAGTCTAAACGCTACTTCCAGAATAGCATATTCGGAAATAACCAAAAGCCGATGTATCGATCTTGGGAGAAGACAACAACTCCTAGAAGTACTGATGGCCGCCCAATTAAATGAATGTCATAAGTCTTTGGAAAAGTATGTGGTCTAGTGAAGTTTCTCATGATGAAGGCGAATGGATTTGTGCAACCGAACGTGCGTATTCTTAATTGGCTAGCATGCGATCTATCTCAATTACTACTGAAAATGTATACTCAATTACCCGTAGTATTAGACACAATTGGAAATCCCCTGGACCAGATGGCATACACGAATTTTGGCTGAAATGGATAACAAGTAGCGACGCGCATTGGGCTGCACAAATTCTAATAATAATAATAATATATTTTTATTTACTCTCACAATTTAAATTAACAAGTTAGAGTATAAACAGTACACTATGGGCTGAGAGTCTGGTCTCTATACTAGGCGGAAGCCTGTGTTACGGATCACCAGGGTCTCCCCCTCAGGATATTATCAACATAACTGAACAAGTTATTTGTTTGATTAACAATTGAGAGATATTGTATTATTAGTTACTTTTGTGTTGTGTGTTTGTGTTTGTGTATTTGTGTTTGTGTGTGTATGTATGTGTGTGAATGAGTGTGTGTGTGTATCTGTGACTTGTGTATGTATGTATGATCTATCCAGTACTAAAACTATGTATATGAAATAAGAAGGTTTTCAGTGGTCTCATAGTCCAGTTATCTTTTATCAATTGTAAATTATAGTGTAAGAGTGAGTGATTTTTAATGATACATTGTAGAATAAAGACAGATAGGACTTTCCAATGTTTGTATAGGTCTACAGTAGGGTAAAGAAAGGGAAGTGAGGTGGATACTTTTAGTATAGCTCTCTGTGCTCGTTCCAGTTTTATTATTTTTGTCTTTTTTGTTTTGTTGTTTTGTTTATTTTTGACTTTTCAGAACCACCCCAAGTTGTTATGCAGTATGTGATAATCGATTGACATAAGGCAAAGTAAATTATTTTGATGACTTTTGTGTCAGCTATGTGCCTAAGGTTTTTAAAAAAGTATATTAACTTTCTTACTCTAGTTGTTAACATGTCTATGTGGCTATGTAAACTGAGTTTGTTATCAATAATTACTCCAAGATATTTTATATTATCTACTCTCTCAATAACACTGCAATGACATTGTGACATTTTCAGCTTTGAATATGTATGTACTCTTAATGAATATTGGGAGTTAATGTTATTTGTTGAACACATGGTAAAAGTCATATATTTTGTTTTTGTATATTTAATGTTAAAATGTTGTTTTTTAGCCAGTCAGATACTTTATTTAAGCCTTCTTGAGCGTTTGCATATACTTCTTGCCACGTATTTGCATGAAAAGTGAGGGCTGTATCGTCAGCAAAACTTAGGATCTTACCTTGTGTAACTTTAATATTGAGGAGATCGTTAATGTATGTTAAAAACAGTGTAGGACCGAGTACACTTCCTTGTGATACGCCAAATGATATGTTAAGTGCCTCACTAACATTATTATCAACCCTAACTTGCTGAGTTCTATTTGTTAGATATTCTTTTATAAGATCTAAAGGTATGCCTCTAATGCCCATATAATCTAATTTATTCACAAGCAGTGGAATATAGACGGTGACAAACGCTTTTGCTAGATCTAAGAATATAGCTAAGACTTTTTGTTTCTTATCAAGATTTTTTACGACAAAATCAGTGAGTTCATGTACGGCATCTGCCGTTGATTTATTGGGGCGAAAACCAAATTGATATTGTGATAATAATTTATTACTTTCTAGATAATTAGTAAGTCTTGTATTAATTAAGCGCTCTAAGATTTTTGACATTGTTGGGAGCAAGGAAATCGGTTTATAATTGTTTAAACTATGTTTATCTCCACTCTTTAGAGTAGGTATTGCAATCGATTTTTTAAAAACTGTTGGAAACTTACCAGTGGTTATAGCTAAATTACTATATCCGCTGCTTGGGTGGATTATAAAAAGCCCTATGACTCTATCTATTTCACTTTCATGGCTAAAGAGAGTATAGAAATATATATAATAATATCCGCTGCTTGGGTGCATTATAAAAAGGCCTATGACTCTATCTATCACATTCATGGCTAAAGAGAGTATAGAAATATATAAAATAATATCCGCTGCTTGGGTGCATTATAAAAAAGCATATGACTCTATCTATTTCACATTCATGGCTAAAGAGAGTATAGAAATATATAAAATAATATCCGCTGCTTGGGTGCATTATAAAAAGGCCTATGACTCTATCTATTTCACATTCATGGCTAAAGAGAGTATAGAAATATATAAAATAATATCCGCTGCTTGGGTGCATAATAAAAATAAAGCGTAATCCTGCACCTTGGATTACACAAGATATAAGAGAACTTATGGGCCAGAGGGACAAAGCTAAGCAAAGGTTTAAACGTCTCCCATCTGAAAATAACTTAAATCGTTTTAAATTTTTACGCAACCGCTGCAGTCGCTTGTGTCGGTATGCTAAAAGACGCTACTTTTACAACTCTCTACACAATAAAAATTCTACTGAGATGTGGAAGTTCCTTCGTTCTGTTGGTGTGGGCAGGTCTCCGATCCTAGAATACAATGACGTTAAAGTAAAGGATCTAAACAATCACTTTGCTACTCCTCCTATGACTTTAGATCCTTACATCAAATCCAACACACTACTCGCATTGGCGGGTATACCGAAACCGCACGTTTGCCCTTTTCATCTTTCCCTTGTAACGGAGGAAGATGTCAAAAAATCCATCCTAGCCATCTCTTCAAATGCTGTTGGTATTGATGGTCTATGTGCGAAGATGATTTTGCTAGTTCTACCTTTACTTCTACCAATTCTTACTCATATATTTA